ATTATGCTATTGAATTAACGAAATAATTTGGAGAATTTTATAGAATCGTTAAATTAAAAATGCTCTTTTTTATTCTACTGATTACTTATAGAATTTTTAAAATTATTTTACAAAATATTAATAAATTTCCTTAAAAATACAGTTATTTTCATGTTTCCTGGTTTGCAATTTGATGGCTTATTTACACCAAGGAAATATGCAATCCTTTAAGATTAATTATTACGCATGTACTTTCATATTTAAACATTAAATTACATATTAAAATTCTGTAAATTAAGTATTATTTATTACTCTATGCAGACATTAATTGATAATTTATTGTTTGATGTATTATTACAAAATGTACGTAAAAATGTCCAATCACTCCATCAACGGCTCAAGCTATAATTCAGTATGTTAAGTATTGTTATTCTGTTAAATTACCAGACAATTGTATGTATTTAGCATTTGTTTCGTGGCTGTTTAATAATAATACTCTCTTTTAAGTTAACATTTAATTATGTGTATTAATCAACTAAACTCTTAAGAACGAACAGATCTTTTCTAATTATTGTCTTAGTTTGTCGAAGACAGCGAATGCTTTGACCATACTTAATACAGAGCATATATCCACTGAGGACAAACTTCGGCTCTTCGATACCCTTATTGTGGTTCCCACACAGTTATTCAATATTATGTAAATGCAATCGGCACATCTCGAGTTTATAAGAAATTGTATAAGGATAGAAGAGCTGCAATAAGGATCTAGAATAGCTGCAGTTTGACCACCATGTGGGGAGTGTGGAGGGAAGAAGAGTATGTAGAAGACAGAGGAAACGGACTAAGCAAGTGGAAGAGAGCTGAAAGAAGCAAAAGAGAATATGTATGGATAGACAGAAATGGCACAAGATGGTCAAGTAGGGATGCGGTACATGATTTCAACATGTCCCAAAGGTGAGAATGGGTATTATAGATTAGATTAGATTATTTTAGTTACTTCAATAAACTGATGTGACAACAAAAAAATGGGAAAGTACCTTGTCAACTTTTGTTTAAGCTTTGTAAGGTTTCTACCTTAGATTTAAGAGTTAAATTTTTTCATTCATTTTGAATGTATCACTCATTCATTTTCATTTCTTTTTATGTGGGTAGTAGTGCAGAACCAATATTTTAACTCTGTTATAAATAATGCTACAAATTTAGTTCTTAAACAAATGAAGATAAATGTTTTCTTTATCTTTATTTAAGAAAACTCATTGACATTACACAAGTTCAAATAACACAAAAATATCACCTTATGGGAGTCAAAATGGTGAAACTAAAACAAGTTTCATAATTCTTGAGATCCAAAAGTAAAAAATTTGTGCATTTTTTCCCCCACTTTAACATTGATAAAGCAGTATTTTTGTGTTTTTAAAATGCATATCAGTTCAACATTTAACGTGAAGACAATGTTTAACATGTATTTAATGCAACATATAATGTGTGGACCCTTTTTTCTAATACTATTATTATGGATAAAACAACTGTAAAAGGATTAAGCAGTTAATAAACAAGCTGACAGAAAATAATTTGAGATTCTTGATTTGTTTGTTAAATAACAAAAATTTTAAATATATTTTTTTGAGTCTTTATAATTTAAAGAACAGAATAATGTTTTAAAATGACAGATTTTACAACAGGAAGTCATATCGTGGCTTACAGAAAAACCTTTGAACACAAAAGAGCAGCAAGAGAAGAATACACCAATGAACAAATTCAAACAAGTATGATTAATTCTTTCTATCCATGTTCTCTAAGTGAGAGCAGACTCGAGTAGTTTGTGAAGGATCAAGTCAAGTACACTCTGCATTCTCCAAGACAGACTTCTTGAATTATATGGAGACATGATTTAGTGCATAAATGTGTTAATCAAAGCCATAATATTATACAGTAGAAACATATAATGATGTAAATTAAATTTCTTATCTGCTTTTGAATCTGTTTAAATAAGAATTCTCTCACTGGATGGTAAATAATTAAAAACACAAAAGCTGGTGTGTTAATTATGTGTACATTTTTCAAGCCACTTTCGACCTTCTCCCTCTCCATTGTGTACACTGATGTATTTTTGGCAAGCCCTACCTTTAATTACACATTTGATATTTAGTAAATGCCCCGACATTTGGAGAAACGACTTAAAAATGTTCTGCATATGTTTTCTAACCTAAAGTTTATTCGCACAACTCGTAAGTGGGCTTATAAGAACAAATTCGCCTGCCACAAGAGAAGTCCGCCTAAATGCCTTGAATGACTCTCTCTCTGGGACTGTACAGATAGCATTTAAGGGACCTTCCATCAACTATATTAATGTTAATTAATATTGAAAACGTTAAAACAAAACTTCCACTTTATTCATTGTTAGTGAATGCTGTTATGTACATGGTATGCTCAAAAAGTTTTGGGAACAGGTCAAAAAATTAAAATATGGGATATAAAAGAAATTTATTTAAGATTTCTCAAAACAGTTGCTCTTTTCTTCAGCCAATCTATGAAAATTTAGAAAAATCGGCTTCTCTTGGGGATGACAAAATCTTTGATTTGTCTCATGCAAATTCTATCAAATCTAAATGCTTACCTTGTAAAGTTGACAAAAGACATATTATTGGACAGGTGAAATAATCAAGAATGATTATCTTAACATTATATGACAATTACACAAGCAATTTGCCAAAAAATATGTGAAAAAATGGCAACAGAAAACTGGATTCTCCATCATGACATCATCAGACTGTGTATAGAGATTAGAGAGGTTGAGGCGCACGTTTTAAACTTGTAAACGTGTACGTGTGACGTTTGGCGCCGCTTTCCCGTAAGCCTAAAAGTTTGACAATGGTGTTTGGATAGTCGGTGGAATCACGCTCGACATTTCAAACACCATCGTCAAACTTTTAGGCTTACGGGAAAGCGGCGCCGAACGTCACACGTACACGTTTACAC